TCGAGGTGAAGAAGAAGGGGAGATCCCCAATTTACTGCGAGCTTCCGCATACGATACGTTCTCCAAAGCGGCATATTGATAAACCTGCCTTTGTTTGATATACACCGGGCATCTCACAGAGGAGGGGAGATGTTCCTGACCGCAATTGCAACATATGGGAGAGAGCTGATGTCGAGGACAGTCCTCTTGATTAGTGTGTCTGTTCTGTCCACATTTAGCGCAGCACGCCGCACTTTTGCAGTCAGAGCTAATGTGTCCAAACCTTAAACATACGAAACACATGAGCACACGTGGAATGTATGGTAGAACTGGAAATGAAACATGCATGAAGGTTAATGCACGAGGGAGAAGTTGCCCCTGAAATTTAGCTAGTACGGAAAGAGTAGGGGTCAAAACATCCTTATCGTCTTTACGTATTTTGCGATGAAGCCTACGGACCAAAACTATCTTAGCCGTTGAATTAAATTCATTAAGAATCATCTCATCGATGACTTCTAATGGCACGTTTTTAATGACATTTAGAATTCTCATAACCCTAAATGCAGGGATTGAGGCTTTCAAATTGTGTGCTTTAAGGTCGGCTAAATTAAGTATGCTGTTAGCTTTCTCGTAATTGTTAAGAGATACAGTTATCTCATTTCGGCCTGCAGACTTAACCTCGACAATATTGTTGCCGACATGCTTAGATAATATACGACTGACCATGATAGGGTTAATTCGAGTTGAATCGTTTACGGAATCCGCTTGAATGAGTACAATGTACGGAGGTAAATCTCTGGGATTATACTTGCAAATGAATTCAGGGGGAGAGTTAGGCTGTATGGGAAGAGAACCATTAACTACTTTTGGCGGGGGTTCCCCGGTACCTTGTCACTATCATGAGAACGCTTGTTCTGTTGATGAGAGACCGCGCTTACATAGGATTGAAGAGCCCTATTGCTCGTATTATTGCAGTCGGTTTCCGTGAGAGCTTCCCGTTCATGGGAGGAATTCATGGAGATATCCGAAATGGAACCATCCTCATTCGCCCCATCCGACGAGAGAGGGGAGCGGGATCTTTCCCGGTTATGTCTTATCATTAGCTGCGTTCAGCAGACTCAACAGTTTTGCAACCGTTTTATGATTGTCTGCTGAGATAGGACCATTCTTCTTGATCTAAAAGTATGATCCAATCAGCGCGAAGAAAACTTCCAACAGTTGCAAAACAAACGTTCTGCTGAACGCAGCCATTGATGCCGGCGATAGGTTAGGTTTCACGATCGAGGATGCCTCTGAAATTGATAATGACTGAGTTTTCTGTTCTTTGTTAGGTTTCTTACCTTTTTTCCTTCCTCGGGCCATCTCAGATGAAGGCTTTATGGGCTGAGACTTGAGGAAGTGTAAAGCTGGGCGCTCTTCCCGTTTGATCGGGGAGGACGCCCCAGATCGAGCAGGGGAATTACAGGCACTTCTGAAAAAGCTATCAAGCTCATCAAAGAGAACTGAGGCACAGGCCTTAAAAGGACTCAATGTCCGCTTCCCTCCCGGGTCCGGGGCGAGCTGGCCCTCAGGCGAGTTCTCCCGCATACCACCACCACGAGAGGGTTATATGAGAGGGATGTAAGAGAAAGGGCACAGAAAGGAATATTAGACAGTAGAAATATAAAAGGAATATGAAAGAAGAGCGAGTGAGCTCGAAAAAACGCACAAAACTACTCAAAATCGTACAATGAATTCGTAAGAGACCGTCCACAAACGTTTCCTTTCAACGGCCAATTTTCGAATCCAACCTAAGATCTTGAATGTTCCTAAACCAATCAACCTACTAGCGATCTGCATTCGCATTTACGTCTCTTGTTAAGCTACAGACAAGAAGACTAGAACCAGGAGAGTCAACTCGTGCCAATAGCGGTAGTGGGGGTGAGGCAAAAAGTGGCGACGG